ACTAGATGCTAAATTAAATTTTGCAGCATGTGTCATCTCAACTAGCTATTTAATTAGGCTAATTTATAACACATCTGTCCTTGCTTGTGGATATGAATGGAACTGAACAGATAAGTAATTGGCCAAACATTTATTAAATTTACGCAATTTAGGTCCAAAGCCACAGCACAGCGATCTCCGCTGTCAGCTGAAAAATGTGTGCTTTCTTTCTACACCACGGGGTGAGAGATGGCAGACCCCCATGTCCGGCTGAATTACAAAATGCTACCCTACCATTATTGTCTTGTTGTCCAGGCTTCCATTACAGACCCTTACAGCAGGTCTGTAAGAAAGTGCATCATGGTTAGTTATAGAGTGCCATAAATAAAATGAATTTCAGAATAATTCAACTTTTAATATTAACTTTGCAACCGAAACCATTTTCCAACATGAGATGGAACAAAAAATACAGGTAGCATTGTCCTCCCATTGCATTACGACTGGATTTAAGTTATTTCCTACAACGATGCATTCCTGAGTTTCCACTAGCTGTGTGAGCAACCTCTAATCACTCTAACACAAATAGAAGAAAGCTGCTTATTTTGCACGGCAGATAAAAGCTACATACAGCAGCACTGCCATCTTCTGCTGGCTTCCTTCCATGCATGCAAGTACTGAGTTTATATTGCAGAGCAACTACAGGGAAGGTGCATTTTTCTACTAGTAGGTATCTGAGGCAATAACATTTTCTAATACTGAGGGATAGCTTATGTCTGGAGTTCCACAGATGTGTGTAGGGGGCTCATACCTGAACTTTTTCTGGGCATAGAAAAGGACTTCGGACATTTGTTTGTGATTTCTAATATAACACATCCCAGCCAGAGCAAGAGCTCAAAAATCCCAGGCAAAAATGTGTACATCTGTGTACTTGTGCTGTCCACAAGGAATATGTTATACCTCTTCAGTATACTCCATAGAGTTGATCCTTACACAAATGTACACACTGAGCAGATCTAACATATTCCCTGTGGTCTGCATGAGTACAGTGAGTCCGAAGCACAGATAATCTATATGCATAGGACTAATTCAGTGCAGCTGAGGTGTGTTTGATCCTATGCAAGCATTTGCATGGTCCATATGCGTAGGTCCAACAGGTCCCAGATGTATCACATGTGCTCATGATCTGGTTTCCTGGATGTGCTGCACATTAGCACATAAGATAGAAACCTGGAAGTTCTCCTTCAGATATTTTCTTTTAAAAAGTGAAGTAAATTATATTTTTCTGAACAGAAGTTGCCAGCAACAGGCACACTGAGCCTGTATGGCTCCAGGGACACCCCACAAGTCAAGGAAGAGGCCCTACCTAAGTTTGCTGTACAGTACTAGACAATGTATTGTTGGATGGAGCTTACAGCATAAACAGCATAAACATTCGTTATAAGTTTGTATCAGAAAAACTGAAAAGGGAGAGAATTTCACTGTATGACTTTATCCTGCTGGGACATGTCCTTGGGATTTTTTACCCCACGGAGGCACAGAGTGACAGTGGCAATTATGACCTTCCCTCTTCCACGCAGTAATGTATGAAATGACTTCTGGCAAGTGAACAAGTCTTGATTGTTTTTTCCTCTTAGAATCTTCTAGTTAGATACTCCAGTATTTGCTTTACTCAAGACTTCGATAGACTGAGTTGCACTGATAACTAATCCTCCACCTTTCTCTGATAATAAGTGTGATAATACTGATGCATGCAGAGGGGTGTCTGTCTTTACGAAAGCATCAGACCATATATGAGGTGAACAGGCATACTCCCTGAACACACAGTCAGAATCACTGTAATATCATGATACAGGTTTATGGCTCATTATTAGCTGGGCAAGGACAGTTTATGCCTCTGAGAATATCCACATCATTACAATCGCTGGTGCAGGGTCCCTGGCTGTCAGCCATATGTGCTCACTCAACCCTCTCTGCTGTGCTGAGGTTTTATGGACCCCACAGGCCAAACCTGGTCTTGCTTCGTGATTCAGTTGCAGTACTAACATCACCACTAAATTCATCAAGCATTGCTGCAGACTCAGCCTGAAGCCACTACTGTTGCAAGTTCAACCCAGTCATGTCCATCCCACAGATCGTTATATGCTGGGCTCAGAAATGCCAGAGGACAAGATGCTTTTGCTTCTGGCTTGGGATAAAGATTTTAAGAGCCTAGGACAGAGGTTTCTACCAGATTGTTCTTGAACCTGGAAAGCTTCCCAAACCAGATCTGTTGTGAGTCATACAGGATGATCCAATTGCTCTTGGTTACTTGAATTCCTTTTTTGGACGTAGTCACAGTCAATAGACAGAGGACAGACAATTCCATCCAAAGCATCAAAATACAGAATGATGGGTAAGGCACATAATAGTGAATATAAAAATATATGATGATTGCATAAGATATATTTTTCCCTTCCCACAGAAGCACAAAGTTTCCTTATTCTCCTTCTTCACTCTCTTGGACCCACCTTTATTGTTAAGAACAAAATAAGAACTGATGAAGACATTAGCAGGTACTAAAGAACAGTCTCTGTTACTTGCTAGCCCAAACCTCTGGGGGTTAAGAAGGCAAAACAAGTTACTATAAATCCATTTTGTCAGTGAGATCTCAGCTCACACTCAGTTAATTGGCCTGTTTCGCAGGAGCTAACCTGGTAGCATAAGAACCTTGAAATAAATCTCTTAGCTACGATTAGCGATGAAAGAGAGATTAGCATGGGCAGGAGAGTTGAAGTCTTTTCTCCATCTCCATTGGTGAGTCAGTGTAAAGACAGAAGGACTACCCAGACATCAGGAAATCAGCACTTCATTCTTCCTCAGGATGCCTGATCCATGTTTTTTCTCCCCTGCACCCAGCAAGTTACCAGTTTTGAGATCTGGGTCAGTCCTGTGAAACAGGTTAGTGGTTTCTTTTGTAATAAACCACAGATAGGAATGCATGTTTAGCTAAACTGTCAGATTTCAGTGAAATTGGTGAGATAAGATGTGGTTTGTTTATGACAAAATTGCAGCCAAATTTCTTCAAATGATTTTCATCTAATAAGTACATTTTATAAAGAAACAAATAGCTGTGCTATGTCTTGTTTTAGGTACTTATAGGAATTTGATAACAAAGGAAAAGTTCTGTTTGAAGGGAGTTAGACAAAGAAAGCTTGAGAACAGTATCGATAATATGGAAGAGATTTCCACATTTATTGGGCTGCTACTGTTGAAAGAAGTATCTCTCCCTTTGTGGATAAACTCCAGCTTCGTCTCCCATAGCTGAGGAGAAAACGCCTGCGTATATGCTTCAGAACCCTGGAGTGGCTCATGTGCAATGGTTAAGGTCTGCTTCTAAAGGACAGAGGCGTTAGTTCCACTGAACGACTAGGAGCGTTTGTGGTTTTACAGTAGCCCACCAGCAAATATAACTTGGAGAAGAAAAGGTACATATGGCAAAGCAAGACAATGGCACTTTTAGATCATAGCTACACTTCAGTTCTTTCAGCTGGAAGAAATTTCTTAATGGTGCTCAAAAAACGATCCTACGGGGCAGTATGCATGTTGCAACGCATCCTACACTAATAAACATAGCGTTTGTGGTTTTACAGTAGCCCACCAGCAAATATAACTTGGAGAAGAAAAGGTACATATGGCAAAGCAAGACAATGGCACTTTTAGATCATAGCTACACTTCAGTTCTTTCAGCTGGAAGAAATTTCTTAATGGTGCTCAAAAAACGATCCTACGGGGCAGTATGCATGTTGCAACGCATCCTACACTAATAAACATAGCTTTTTTTGAATAATATTAGGGTGTATTTAGAAAATTCATTATGGTGGGAAGAGGGTCTTCTCGTTACTTGATGGTAAACTGTTAGTGTAAGAAACAATCTCTAGAGAAATATCCATGTAGAAGCTGGGAACACGAGGCCTTCTCTCTCATGTTGCCCAGAGAATAATTTGTCAGGAACAGAGTAAGTAAGTTGTTCTTCTGCCCTAGTCTTGATGCGCTCGGAGTTTCAGAAGAAGCACAGTTGTCCCAAAGATCCTTTGTGCAATCTCAGATATGTCGGTGACAGCCAGGGTCAGTGAAGGAGCAGCCACTGCACTACACCAACCAGTTGCTCCCCCTTCCCTCTGGCAGTATGGCTCGTATGAAAGGGCAGATCTGTACCACTGGAGGACTGTAGCATGGGTACATCTGTTAGATGAATGTGAATATTCTATGAAATCTGGTCTTGTAACAATACTAAAATTGCACCAAGGAAGCTGGAAATACCACATGAGAATTACTGTATGCAAGGACTTACAAGCAGACTTGCTCTTGCGCATAAAGTTTTCATTTTTTTAACATCAGGCATCTGAAAAAGGGGGAAGGAGCTCTATCAGCATAGCTATGAGAGACTGAATGTATCCCTGCTTACGGAATTTAGCTGCAAGTTTCTTTACAGCTAGAATATGACAGAAAGTCTTAAATTTACATCTTCCAAAATCGATGCCTCTTGAGCAGATTAATTTTAAGTAAAGGTAGAACTCTTTACAACTTTTGTTCAAATGTTAACGCCAAAGATGTTTGGCAAGTAGAGTGTTCTCTGTGACACTGCCTAACAACCAAGAGGCACGATGCAAACTAGGTGGTCTTTAAGGTCCCTTCCAACCCAAACCATCCTGTGATTCTGTGCAATACACACACGTATTTCATAGAAACGAACAGTGAGCGATGTGTTCACATACGCTGAACGTGACCTGCTTATCAGCTGCTAGGAAATCTCCCAACAGATTCTCCCTGTTGTGAGCTCCGAGACCTGAGCATCGGGGGCAAATAAGCCTATTTGCAGCAGCCATCCACAGCTATTTAAGGTCAAGTCATGAACTGCTTAACTGATCAAGCAATCAAAGATACTGTCTCCAGGCTTAGCAGGCAGGCTGTCATGTGGAGGCTTAATTCTGTGCCAGCAGAGCATGATCCTTTTAAATGAGGTCTGAAGAATACCGTAGAAGAATGGTGTGAAGAAAGTGGTGTCATTTTGTACACTGCTGTTCTCTGGACTGACAGTGGTGTCTATCAATAATCAGTATTTCATCATGATAACTGGTATGGCTATCACAATATGATCACCATCAATATTCAACCATATCTGATAATTAGCCTTAACAATCATTAAAATTAAGACCCCTTTTTTGAAGGCAGAAAGCTGCTGGCCTCAACACCTTTGGAAAGAAGATGAGTAAAGAAAACTGCCGTGCATTTTGCACACTATTCTGTGTATTGTACAAAAGATGCACAGAGATTAATAGTTCTAAGGGGAATTAGTTTCCTCTCTAAATGCAGGAGAAAATAAATGCAACATGAATGAATTAGACCTCACAGGCACTGAAATGTTTTACTTATCAAATGCACCAACATATCTAAACCATATCCCAGTATGAAAGGAGCAGCCTATTCGTTGCTCGTACAAATACAATTAATTCCTTCCGACAAACCCAGAGGAAGGCGCTGGGATACCATTATCTTCTTCAACTGCTCTACAACCATCTGCTCACCCAGTGTTAAGTTTCACTGCAGCTGTGGATCCTTCAGTGGGTGGGTGTAGCCATACTTCTGTACAGCTTGTCTGCAGGTAGTTTTCATGCTGTTTTAGCTGATAGCAGTTTGATTCAGATGAAGTTAAGTAGTAGAGCCCATGAGCTTAAAAACAATTATACATGAATAAAGCTGCTTATACGTCTCTATTTTCTCAAATTTAATGGATTATGTTTTACTGTTTATAATGTCATTGTACTAGTGGAATTAGATGACTGTAAAAGTCAAAAATACACGGCTGTAGAGTATAAAACACTCTAAAGAAAACTACTGAATCAGTATGAGGCCATGCCGAGAGTAGGTTTTGTGGGGAGGAAAGGAAGAAGAACCCCACATACCTTCCACATGTTGAGGACAGGCAATCACAAAGCATCGGAAACACTGAAGAAGCATAAAAGTGGATGGTTTGATTATGAGGTACCGCAGCGTAGTTCTACATCCACATCACGTACACAGGAAGCACATTGTCTCCAGGTCTAACAGGTTTTAGATCTCGGATGTTCCCAGCTGCTTTCTGCCTGTGACATAACTGGAGAGGTGGAAAGGAGAAGTTGTTAGCAGTGTTGCAGAGAAGCAAGGTTCAAAGTGCTGGGAAAGAGGGTGTCTTTTCTTAGACCCACTGACAGCTGGGGAAAAGAAGACAGACCTTGAAACATAGAAGTCCTTCGGCTCTGAAATACCAGATTTGAAACTCAGGGCAGCAGCGGGGAGTCTCTCTGAACATGCTGCATGCCCATCATTGTGATCTTTGGGGAGAAAATCACAAGAGTCTGTAGAACACATGGCAAAGTTATTAGGGGACTGTAACAACATAAGAGCAGGTGTATCAAAAACAAGCTAAAAACATACAAGATATAAATTACTAAACACAAGTAGTTTCTGTCATTTTTCAAATAGTTTTCCCTCAAAAACTGGAGTGTCCCTTGGGGCTGCAGAGTCTTCTTCAGACGGGAGGAGGGAAGCAGTTCCAATGGGCGATGAAGAAGTCAAGGTTATTGCAGAAAGTGCAACCGGGAATGAAGTTCAGGATCCTGAGTAGAATGTGGGGGACTTGGGAAGAAATCCAGTCTACAGGTGTTAGGAAGGTTGGAGTAAGGCATGGTTGGCACAGTTCTCAGGACAAAAGGAAAAAACAAGCAACTTTAGATGCAGGAGCAGAAGTTAAGATAGTGATTCCCTAAGGATTAAATAAGCCTTATATAGGATATCATGCTATTCCTAAAACTGTTTTTTAATAAGAACTTTCAGAAAGAAAGGAAAGGCAATCAGGTAGAGAAAGAAAGAGAGCATCTTAAACTGCTGATTTTTGTTCTTAAGGTGTGAAGACGTTCTGCTTTTCTTTGTTTGTTTGGGTGGTATGTTACTTCACATTAAAACAGCAGTGCTTTTGTGCCAGGCCAAGTGGAAAAATGCTGCGGAGGATGGTTTATTCAGTAATATATTCAGGTCATAGCACCTAGAATCTAAGAAACCTTATAATATTTTCTAGAAAAACAAAACAGTGACTGAGTTTAACTATTAGTAGAACACATTCTGTGTGCAAATAACCACAGTCAGTTCTCCTGCCTGTTTTGCCAGAGTGATCATATCTTAGTAGTAGATGTGTAGGAATAAGACTGCTTTCTGCCAGCATGTTTTATGGCACAAATCAATGGAATGCCCAAAACCACCTACAGGTTACTGTGTTTCTGGTGCTATTTTAAAGTATTTTCCCATATGGAAAAAAGGCTTATGTAATTATGTGTGTGTTTGTCCTACTTAGCAACGTTCGGATGCAGATCTGACCATGACACAGTAATCTAAGAATTATCAGTTACTAAAATGATCAAGAAAATGTGGGCAGTGAGTAGAAGGGAAGGGCACCATGAGTCTGCTGGAGGGAAAGACAGCAGATCAGCTCACTTCCAGACATCCAAAAATCTGCACAGAAAATTGCTCTGGAGTCAAAAATCCATAGGAATCTGCAGTTCATTGGTTCTACTGTTCACTTATTGCTAATTGCTCTAGTCGGTCCTTAGAATGATTTTCTAAAGCGATTCATGTTGTATGAAATTTAAGCAGTAAATTTCACTGGGGCACTCCCTTGGCAGGTCTCAGAGTGCGTGAGGCTGTACAGGAAGTTCTCTGTAGTCTCTATAAATACCCAGTCAAACAGACAGTAATCTCTCTCTCTCTCTTTTTTCAGATGTCTGCTGCATGCCTTGGATACAGGCTCCTAATCCGCTTACGAGCTTTCCTTGACCTACGCCTCTCTTCCTAATGCCGATCTAACTATGGCTGTCCTCAAAGTAAAATTCACCAAAACCAAGAGGGACAAATTGGCTCAGATCTTATGGATCCTCAACTGGATTTCTGTAGTGAGCGGGATCATTCTCTTCAGTCTTGGCCTCTTCTTGAAAATAGAGATCAAGAAGCGCAACGAAGTGATGGCAAAGGGGGACGTTAACTCTGTCCCCAACATGCTGATCTCAGTAGGAGTCATAGCCTGTATCATCAACTTCCTGGGTGGCAAAATCTGCTATGACTGCTCAGATGCCAACAAGTTCTCTCGATGGAAACTAGTTATGCTTCCGTACATCGTATGTACCTTCTGTTTTACCTTCTGCATCCTGGTGGGTGCTCTAATGTGCTATACCATGAGGAATGAGCTGGAAGAGTCTCTCTACCTGGGACTGAGGGATGCTATTAAGTTCTATAAAGACACGGACATACCCGGACGATGTTTCTTAAAGAAAACAGTGGATTTGTTACAAATTGGATTCCAGTGCTGTGGAAACAATGGCTTTAGAGATTGGTTTGAAATTCAGTGGGTATCTGCTCGTTATCTGAACATGGCTTCCAAGGAAGTTCTGGAGTAAGTATTCACTAGTCATAGCAAAAAATTCTAATGAAAAGCCTCATTCAAGAAGTATTTGTAGTGAACTGAAAGTAACAGTAGTGTCAAAAGATCTTCAGTTGCAATGACGTCAAAGAGAACATGGCAAAAGTGCTTGTTCTCCGCCACCAGCCAAAAATTCTGGCAGTGTTCTTCTTCATTATTAAAACAGCATCTGGTGGCTAGAAGACTCCTCCCAAAGGTCATTCTAAATAACTCTGGTAAAGGGTCTAACTCAAGAAGAGAGAACATTTTGTTGGTTCTAGGCATGTTCACAAACACCCTCATAGTTTAACTGATGTAGTAACCTTTACTGTGTAACAGTGGGAATAATACTTTGTCTAGACCATATGCTTCCTCTGAAACCGAAAATGCGTAACTACTCAAGCCAAAAAGCATCCTTCTGTTTATACATTCTTCACGGAAGGGGTTTTCAGGCGTTGGAACGGGCTACCCAGGCGGGTGGTTGAGTCACCATCCCTGGAGGTGTTTAAGAGATGCGTGGACAAGGTGCTTAGGGACACGGTTTAGTGGTGGACTTGGCAGTGTTAAGGTTGGACTTGCTGATCTTAAAGTTTTTTTCCAACCTAAAAGACTCCATGATTCTGTTTAATAATTCTGGGATTCTAGCATACACCTCACAAGGCCAAGTGGATTATAATTTCTGCTGGACCTTTGTCACAATCAGAAAACTGTAAAATGATCACATTACTCAAAAAATACACTGACTACATGCCCAATCAGAGTTGCCTTTTGCCGACATTTTAGGGATGCTAAGCAAAGCAAAGATGTAACTGTCCTTTTTTAAAATGTGTGAATTAGCTACCTCAAAATTTCAGTTACAGTGAGCTGATGATGGAAAGAACAAAGGATGTTACTATCAATACATTGCACCGTCAGTCCTTAACGCTGAAAGATCTTTCTCCTTCAAGATAGCAAACTCTGTATGTTCACATGCGAGAAACTGCCAACACCATGTACGCTGCAGAAAAAAAGGAGAAAAATCCTTGAAATGTGTTGGGGTTTTTTTGTTGTTGATGTTTCACATGACATAGCAATTGTGAAGTTGTATGCTGAAAAAGAAGAGGCTGGTAATTCTTACAGACTAATTTTTTAACTGATTTTTTTTTAATTAGACAATCCAATATGTAATAATTCATCTAAAGCTGAAAAAAAGCCTTCGCTGACGAGAGCGAAGTAGCTGTATGTTCCTGGGAAAGACAAACACAAAAAGCTTGACTGGCATTTGTCAAGTGTTCTGTTTTGTTGAACTCAAAAATCAGTGACAGTAAAGGCAGATGAAAGGAGGCCAAAGACCTTATTTTCACAGAATTTGCTACCTGAAACTGCCATCATAGCAAAGCATATATACAGAGCTACAAATATACCAGAAGGCAGGACCTAGAACTTGGACAAGAGGGCATCAGCACGCGGAAGGCAGTTGGCTGCAGAAATAAAGCAAGCTTTAGAACAAGTGTTTTCGAGAGGGAAGTTGGAAAGCAACAGTGACACCAAGCAGACTGACCCAAGAGGTGCTTTAAATCGTGGTGGTCCACAGGAACTTAACTGTAGTATCCCATTGGGAGGACAAAACTAAAATATACTGCCTTTTATTTCCGTGAGACATGCAGAAACAGTCATGTTTTACCCAGCTTTTTAGCTAAACTCCATTTTCTTCCGCAGGGTCACCCGTGCTCTGCCATTATTCTGAAAATACCTGTCAGTTAATTTTTGCCCCACATAGGCAGAAGATGCCAGTGAAAGGTGTGAGAGGGAAGCATGACACTGCAGAATGCCCTTTACTGTACAGAGGTTGGATAATTCCATCTTGATTGCTAGAATCCAAGTCAGTGCTGCATAATCAAATTGTACTGTGATCTCCAAACATCTGGTAATGAAACATTTGATATGAAATCCTCAGAAGCAAAGTCCAGCTGGTAATGTTCAGAAAGGATGGAGAAAGATCCAAACACTTCTCTTGGTTTCACCTTGTACTGTACACCAATTAGTGCTCAGCAGATTAAGAGGCAAAGCAGTTGAGAGCTGATATACTGTCAACTCATGTGTAACCTTTGCAAAACTGAACTTTTCACCTTCCTTCATAATCCTCTTCCCTCCCCTCCCTTCTGCATCTCCATTGCCAACACCACAGTGAGTCAAGAAGTGGAGGGACTCAGTGGGAGCGGCAGGAGGATGAGGCAGGGTACAGCGGTACAACCCTCTCATTGCTTTACACGGGTAAAAATCTCCATTTTATAGGCTCAAAAGCAAGTTTTGCTTTACAATACCACGACGACTTTGAAACACAGCAACAACCCACAGTAGATGCCTCACTCCCTCAACTCCAGTACCCAGGTCTTCCCTTCTAACAGTACCAAGATTCTTTAGTTTGCCACCAGTAGGGTAAACACAATGGCAGGGGGTATAGCCCAGGTGTGGAGACTGTTGTCAGCAGCAGTAGAAAGATTCCTCTTTGTAACATGTGGCAGGAAGGAGAAAAAAAAAAAAAATTTGATGCTTGGGATCAAAGCAAAGCTTAAGACCCAGTTTAAGAGACTGTCTTTTGACCATTTTAAATGCTGCACTGGGGTCGTGTCACTGAAATACACAGGGCGCTCTGCTGGCCCAGGTAAGAGCTTCCCTTCCACAAGGTGCCGGCCTGCCTCTCCTCCCCACGCATTCGAGCCCTCCGTTTTGTACCTCTCCGGCTCCCTTCCTTGTTTCCCTCCCCAAGGGGGGTTTCGCCTGTCCCCATTACATTCCCTGCAATCCTAGGTCTGGTTTCAGTGGGTCATTTGGGTTCTTTGGCCTCAGTTTCCTGCTGCTGCCGTTACCCAGAGCATCCCTCAATATCAGAAGGATATTGACCACTTGGAGCGAGTCCAGAGGAGGCCACGAAGATGATCAGAGGGCTGGAGCACCTCTGCTATGAAGAAAGGCTGCAAGAATTGGGCTTGTTCAGCCTGGAGAAGAGGAGGCTCCGAGGAGACCTCATTGCAGCTTTCCAGTATCTAAAGGGGGCCTACAAGGGTACTGGGAGAGGACTTTTTACAAGAGCCTGTAGTGTCAGGGCAGGGGGGAATGGGGACAAATTGAAAACA